TGCCACGTTCGATCTGGTGTGGGCGGCTGTCGGGCTGCGTGCAGAGCGACCGATGTGAGAGGTACTCCGAAGGAGGTATGACGATGTGCAAGTCTTTCGGCCGTTTCAATGTGTGCGGTTCGTCGCAGCGTAGAAGCGTGGGCAAATTTTCTTTTCTTGAGAAGGCTCGAAATCTCTTGCTTTACCGAAGCGTCTGGACTGTTGATCTATCACCATCGGTCCTTTGTGGGACCCAACTCCTGATCAAAGCACACAGCAGCATGCGTTTGATGCCATAGTAGATTGGGATGAGCAAACTGGGACAAGGAATGGTTAAAGAGAAGGATCGAGGAAGGGACGAAACGGATACGAAGCCGTGAAGCTTCTCTTGACCTGCGAGTGTGGTTTCGACTGCGCCGAACAGCCGCTCAGAGGCTTGGCATAGCTACATATCGATATGCATGGGAAAAGGAATAACGATAAAGGAAGAAATTGGTAATCTCAGTGCTGATATGCGTGTATCCGGCCAGTCATGGACAGAATGACAGTTGAAATGTGAGTACCTATGGTCAATTGTGATTGCTACCAGGGTGTACTCACACCGAGGCTGCACACCGGGTCCAAAGTGTGTTGAACTCTGATGTCGCAGTGCATAACCTTGGGTTTGAATGGCATCGGGGAGTGAAGTCGAGCGAGGGAGCGCAGCGCTGCAGAGGTCGAAAGAAGGTTTCACGTGGTAGATGACATCATCGCCCAAAGCAGCAAGCACCTTCATCTGAACCAAAGAACGCGTCGAAGAGGCCAGCAGAGCACAGCACAAGGCAGCAACAAACAGTTTCTACAACGTGTCCATACCTCCAGATCGCCTCCAAACCAATCCTTACATCGACCCAAGAATCTAGAAAGTAACTGCCCGCTTTACCGCGACTACACCCTCCACGATACTCACCACCTCCACACTCACCACACACAACCCATATACCACCCCAGACCCCCACAAACCACCTCCAACATGCCCCCAATCCCCATCCACAAAAACGCACCCATCGCGCCCACCACCGCCGCAAAACCCGACGGCACCACCCCTTCAACCGCGTCTTCAGACCCCGACAACGCCTCCAACAACCCTCCTCCCACACGCACAACGCCCGCCTACGTCCCCGCCACAACAACACAAGCCGCATCGTCGAACCCTCCCGCTCCACAGCCCGGCGCCCGTCCCGCCGCACCAACAGGGTCAATCGGAATGACAGAAGGAAACGACAGATACACACCAGCAGCGCCACAAGCAGGTGCCGTCCCGACGGCAACGGTTATAACGACGGAGACACGGCAAGCACCGCCACCGCCGCAGTTCAGTCATGCTCCGCCTTCAGACTCCATGTTGGCGGGGAGGTCGACGGTGACGGCTACGACGGCTAGCAAACCTGGTCCTACGACGCTCAACTACGGGCCTGCTGCGTCGCCGTTCCAGACGGCTGATCAAGCGCAGCCTACGAGGACGAGCTTGGAACACCCGCCGGGCTATGTTCAGGCGATGGATAACGCGCCGTATACTGCTGGAGGAGGCATCGGTCAGTGGAGCGGAGCGGGAGACGCAGAGGGTGAGGGCGTTGGGGCGCAGGCGTGGAGCATGCTGAACAAGGCGGGTGAGGCACTGAAGAAGGGCGAGGAGAGCGTGTGGAGGGCGGTTCAGGGTAAGAATGGCGGCGGATTCTGAGCACGTGCTTGCTCGTAGAGGGGTTAGAAGAGCATAAGCAGTCAGGAGAGCAGTGCATCACTCATAGTAGAGGCAATTTGTTCATACAAAGAAACCCATGACTTTCTATAGACCACTATTTTCCCCATTGCACCAAGCGATGAAAAGAGGAAGTACAGCCAGAAACAGATGAAGCATTGCAAGCCGGATATGACGTGTGAATGTATAAAGTACAAGAGTGTGTTACCACCCGGGATCGTGCTTTTCGTAACCAAGAACAACCGTCGGCCCGCAGGGCGTGTTGCCGTTCTCATACACGTACACCCCATCCCCATCTCTCACGTCGCGAATAACTGCTTCCACCACATAAACGCAGGTTGGGGGTATCGTAGAGGGAAGAAAGGCGCTTAACCAGATCCACCCTTGAACTTCTTGCCGAAGAGGATGAGCTGGGCCTGGTCGTAGATGGACAGGACACCGGCACCGGCAACACCACGGAGAATGTTGGCACCAGCACCCTTGAAGAGAGACTTGACACCCTCGGCGGCAACGATCTGGCGAGCGGCGTCCATGGTACCCTTGTACTTGACGGCCTCACCGGAGGTCATCATCATGCGGCGACGGATGGTGTCAAGGGGGTAGGAGGCGATACCGGCACCAGTGGTGACGGCCCAACCAAGAGCGAAAGAGGCCAAGAAGTTACCCTCGAGGGAACCGGTGAGGAGGACGGGCTTGATCGAGTCGTACATACCGAAGTACAGACCACGGTAGACAACGATACCAGCAACGGAGGGCATGAAACCACGGTAGAGACCGCCGATACCGTCGGAGGCGAGGGTCTTCTTGTAGACGTCTACGAGACCGTTGAACTGGCGCTCACCACCCTTCTTGGCCGACTTGGCGTCGTTGGCGAGACGGGTACGGGCGTAGTCGAGGGAGTAGACGAAGAGGAGGGAAGTGGCACCGGCAGCCTGTTATTGTTAGATCGTGATTTGCTAGCCATTGAACAGATGTACTTACACCACCGGAGGCCAAGTTACCGGCCATCCACTTGGCGTAACCGTCACGCTCCTTCTTGTAGGCGAACATGGACTTGTAGGTGTCGCGGAAAGCGAAGTTGAGCGCCTGGGTGGGGAAGTAACGGATGACGTTGGCAGTGTTACCACGCCAGAGGGAGAGGACACCCTCGTTCTTAGCGGTACGGCTGAAGCACTCGCCAATGCCATCGTACTTGCGGTCGAGACGACCGGACTTAAGCATCTCATCCTGCGGGGTGGGTTAGCAATTGTCGACATGCGGGGGGCGAGGTTGTGATAATGCTTACCTGGTTCTGGATGAGGAGCTTAACACGCTCGATGGGGGCAGCAGCGGTCTTCGAGACGGCGGCGGAAACACCACCCACTGATAAGCTGTTAGTGGCTGTAGCGAGAACAAAACTTGGCCGACAACGCTCGCATCACATCCAATTGCCAATGGCAGACGGATTGATGGACCTGTCGATGGAGATAAACGTACTCAAGAAGTCCACCACGAAACCTGGCATCCCGAAAAGGGACTTGTCTGCAATCTGGTCAGCGTCGTCTCGTGCAATTCGCAGATGTAATACACACCCTGCTGTGCGCCCGACATCTTGGATGATGTATGGAGGGGAGATTGGTTGAAAAAGGTGAGGTTGCAGATGCTGGTGCTGCGTTGAGGGAAGAACGGTGTATTTGTAGCGAAGCTGCGACAAATTCTGCCAGCAGCGCTAATTCGCACTAAGCCAATCACGTGCTAGTGGCCTTGCCCGCTATCCCGAGCGCACCCTCATCAACACCTCGGAAACGCGGGTTGGGACAATGGTGAAGGAGAAAAAGTTCTCACGAGTGTCGTCGCATTGCAATTGACTTATCGTACGTCTCAATTGCTACATATCGACGGCCTGCTCTGCATTCAATTCACGATACGCTGCCTCTTGATCCCAACGGAACCCCCACAAGCGTTGCCGTAGCAGCCACACAATGCCTATGGCTTGACGAGACTGCGTCTAAAGGCAGCCCGCAGCCGTCAATTCAACATGGAAAATCCACTGTGGGGATGTACAAGTGTTCACATGCCTCTTCCAGCCCAAGTCTCCCACCCTCTCCTTTCTGCGAGGCACCATTGTCAGGGTCCGCCATTTTTAGGTCGGGTAATCTCGGGGACGGAACCTGGCTCGGGCCAACAACTAGCGGCGAGGGCCCTCAAAGAACGTGGGGCCCGAAACTCCAGGCGGCGAATTTTCCATCGCGCTGCCCGCTATTGGCACAAGAGCCGTGGTTCGCGAAGCCTCGCCTGGCTTCTAGGGCTGCCGAGATGCCTTTCTAAGGCTGCCATGGCTGGGTGCGTGACGTTGGTGTTGCAGGAGCTTCGTGATGCTGGCTGACACCGTATGTCGGTGTCGGTTGTCGCTGTCTGACGCTCTTCAGTACCCCTCCGACGGCAGCCGTCTCAAGTCATCCGATCACATCGGGACATCACAAAGACTTCGCCAGTCATCGGAATGCCAAACCAGTATCGCGTTCATGGAGAATGTTGAACTCGGCGGCACTTCAAGTTTTATCACCGCGAAAACACTTGCGTCATTGCGTCTTGTCATACCGTGTTAGAAGGAGGTGGGATGAGCTACCATCGGTCTCCCACGAACAGCCTGTTTTCTCGAAGTCACTCTAGCTCCCTTCTGTACACCCATACTGTGCAATCACGCTTACTTGCTGGAAGTATCGTGGCCGTTGTATACAAGTTTGCTGTAAACAGATATACTCCCTTCCATCTTAAGTCTAGCTCATCTTCCCTTGCAGCATACAAAGCATCTTTCACTGACTCTGAGAAGTATCATTGTAGCCCCAGACGTATACATCGCTCGGCTCCAGCACAGTGAGCACCTCTTAGCTGTGTCGTCATCTGCAGCACAGAAGAATGGTAGCGAGACCAAGACCTTTTGCTCGTACTTCGCCGTCAAGCTGACACATGAAATGTGACTCAGTGACACCCACTCGTCAGGCCGAACGACAACGCTGCTGAGGTACTTGGGCACTGGCGACGGGCTACTAGGCGAGGCACTGCGCTTCTCCCTGCGTATCCGCACTCCAGGGTGGGAGGACTATCCCGCGGCTGTCAAGCGTAGGCAGGAGACGCTCCTCGGTCACCACACTATGGGCAGGGTCAGTCAGAGGTGTCTGAGATCATGATGAACTACTGACGCGTGTCTTCGCACACTCCGCGCGCAGCTCGGCGGAAGTCTTTGATTTGGCAGCGGCCTTGGTCGACAGCGCTGATGCAATCCTGTTAGTGCTGAGGTTATTCACTCGGCCATCGGAGACACTCGACTCGGTACCAGGTCCTTCATCTGCTGGGCTTCGGTAGACGCGCCTACCGACATGGCGGGAGTATGCCTGACGAGAGCGCTGACCTGGCTCGCAGATACGGACACGTCCATCCGACTCTTCGACGCGGCACTAATAAGCTTGACCATCATCTCCTTGGGGTTATCAGTAGCGCTGTCCTCCTGCCGAATATCAACGAAGACGCAAACTTATTGCTCGGGTCGGCGGTCGTGGTCGAGAGACGGATAGAGCCCTGGGCCACGAGGTCCTCACGCCGATTCTGCATCTCACGATCGGCCTTGTTTGTTGACATCGTGACTATGCTTTCGATTGTGCTGCTGAAGGCTTTCGACTGGATTGTACGTTCTGGCGACCTCGGGATCGCTCACCTTCCCGGCTGCATACGCAGGGTGTACTACGTTGATGAGCTTTGATGGTCTGGAAGCACGACGGTCCGTAGAGCTTTCAAGCGTCGAGGCGGCATCTATTGCTCGCGATCCAAGATTTATCACAGTCGCAGAGCAACGCATAGTATCACTAGGATATGGGTGCTCTTATGCAGACTACGGTGGGCGTTGCGTCTTTGAAGGCCGTCTGCACACTGTCCCGTCTGGCGCAGAGAGCGTCTATCTTGTTGCGGCACGCGCGCAGGTATACGCAGAAAAAGCAACATGCTTCGTTTGTTCCGAGTAGTTGACGCCTGTTCTGTTCTTGTTAGCGAAATACACATGCCCAGGTGTCTCGTCATTCGATTCTTACATGCTCGATTTGTTCAACGTGACAGCAGCAGACGCTGGGTGATGTAAGCGCTCCCTCCATGTCCTGCTCTGGTACCGGTCTTAGTATCCATGGACGATGTACAGAATTCACTCCTGCGACATACTGCCGCAGCATATCGCGTCTCCGGTATCGGGGAAGGCAACAGCATTATTCTCAACGGTTGGCATGCCAAGTTGCTCAAGCTAGCAAGACAAGCGGGTGAAGGCGGCTTTACGTTCAACTTTGCCGTTATACATTGACGTCACCTTGTTTTTATGGTCACTCACCTTATACTAAAAAAACCTGAGTCACCGCGACTTGCGCTGCTGCCTGCTGCCTAAATAAAAAGACGTCGACGCTACAACGACCCAATCCGCACCACCACCTCACCACCACCCACCCTCCCCTCCACAAATGGCGACTGCGAGAAAGACATCCGAGAATGTGAGTACTTGGTAGCACTCCGCTTCCTTGCGCGACCTTCTCAGAACCGTCTTCTCGCAGTCGCCCGACAAGCTATCGCGCCACCATGCGAGCGCAGCCCATCGAGGCATCGAACCCAACCAACACCCCCTCAACTTTCTGATGATCCTCGCCACTGATCTTCACCCAAAAGCGACTGCGAGAAAAATACGTCTGAGAGTGTGAGTACTTGGTGGCAACCTGCTTCCTTGCGCGACCGTCTCAGAATCGTCTTCTCGCACACGCTCGACAAGCTTTCGCGCCACCATGCGAGCGCAGCCGATCGAGGCACTAAAACAAACCAACACTCCTATATTTATCCAACAATCACAGTCACTCTCACCTTCACTGGCCTTGCAGAGTCTCTCGACAAGTTATCGCGTCACCATGCGAGCGCAGCCCATCGAGGCACCTGAAACCAAACATCCCCATCAAACCACACTCTTCTTTCGATTGGATCGATATGCCGAAAATACCTCTTTCAACGCTATTATAGTCTGCGAGACTGGTCATAGGAACAACATATCACTCGCCAAACCACAGTTTTGCGATTTCCATCAACCCTCACCTTCTACCACTATAACAGCCACGCGCTACGACGAACAAGCACCGGGGTGGGACTGCCTTCTTATGTATACGCGACTGTGCATCTCTGCTAGAGTGCAACCTCCGTTCTATGGTATCGGAAAGCGTACACCACGAGTAAGAAGCAAGCACAAGCTTTTACAGAGAAGCTACGCAGGCACAACGTCCAACGGGAACGGAGTTCGAGTCCCCTTTCCTCGGTACTGCTTCGCCCCTACTGCACGACAGACGAGGTGGTGGTCATTCAAAATCCACTATCAGCTCGCCATACCTCTCATCCTCCATCCTCCTCTATCCTTCTCCATCCTCCTTCACCTCCGTTACCTCCTTCACTCCCCTCAACTCCTGTTATCCATCTTCCCATTGTAGCTGTCACAATGGCCGCCTTCAGAGAGTTACAAGCACTCGAGACATCGGATGGGACCAATCACGACTTCATGCTCGCCGCAGGTGTGGACGACGACAACAACAACAACAACAACAACAGTGACGACGGTTTCTTCGAAGAGTTCGACCATCTCGGCCACACACCCCATGAACGTCACGATTCCAACGGACTTACAAATACCCAATGGGCGGAGCAGCTGCGAAACCTGAGCAGCTCTATTGTTCAGCCTGGATCGTACACTCGACGACGCTTCGTCTCGACATGGGGTACAAGGTTTGACGAGTTCAGGAAGGACATTCTAGGGCATAAGTAGGTTTCATTCTACCAATGGTTTTATTTGTGGGCTGTGCTAACAATTATACCAGTAACTCCAAGGTCTTCGTTTTGCACGAGCTCGAGCAATTCATACTATATAACTTTCGCCGATACCAGCCGAAGCCAGCCTGCACGGACAGTGACGACGAAGAGGCCAACGAACAAGGCGACATCGTTGAAGAAGCGCCCATCGATTCGAAGCCGCGAGTGAAATGGTCGTACAACACACTTAAAGAAGTGATGACAGCCGTCACACAGCGAGCCAGTTTCAGATGGAACGACTTCAAGCTCACCACACGTCAAGAAATGCGAGCAAAAGGTGCTCTCGAACGGACGCTCAACGACGGCTATGCATCCAAACAAGAGTGCGTCTCTCGCGATCAGGCTCTAGCAGCGTACTTCGTCCGTCGGATGTCGCGAGGCATGATCCAGCATGCTCTCAGCGGCCACTTACCTTCCTGGGATACTGCTGTGTTGTTCACCTTAGCTATCGTCGTACAAGCCGCCCTCAATTGTCGCTTGGGAGACATACTGGCCGCCAACAATGCAGAAGAGTGGCCCAAGGAACAAACACCTTCGCTCACGTACGATGACGTGAAGTTGGTACTTGAAGGGGGCACTTCAATCGAAGACATCAAGGGCGAATGGACAATCAGGAATGCCAAAGGCAGCTTCGATCACTCTGGATATTTGCTCGCAACTTCCATTCCTCGAGCAGGATAGCTCAGCCAGACTGCTACATGATCTCACGCGCAACGTGCTGGTATCCGCAAAACCGCATGTCTTTGTCTTGATGAGCTGTGTCGAAATGTCTGTAAGCGGCGAGTTACTTGTAGTCCCCAAAAGGATCTTGCTCCTCGTCAAATCAGTCAACGCCGCAGCGAAGCTTGGCACTCGCGCGCTGATTGGGAAGGCGGCGGTGCTATGTACAACTGCGTCTGTCGCCACGACCCCGAGCTTTAACGTCATCCGTCAATCTCACACCGTGTTCTTGGAAGGAGCTGGACGCGCCAGCGATGTCGAGATTGCTGGCTCCTTCAGCCACTTCTGGAACGCCTGTCTGCGAATGTTCATCGGCTCCGTGAACCAATTGGGTCCGGCTGCATCTGGTCAGAAGAACGAGAACCCGTTCGCGAAGCAGCTTGCTTCATCAACTCTCCTTCGATGGGCTGCGGCAGGCCTCGAGATGAATGAACCCAACCAGATATCTCGATTCAGGAACCCAGCGCTGCTCGAATTGTGGACCCTTACGAACAATATGCCACAGCTTCGGACAGTAGCAGGGTCTTTCGATGACACTCTCTCTGCTACATACGCCACTATCAACAAGGCTATATGGGGCATTGACAGCATCCTCATGTTCGTGAACGTGCAGGATGCGACATTGACCAAGGATCTCAGTGGCTCTTCCTATTCCCTCGAGACTGCCGCCGCGGTCATGAAGCATGCCAGGATTTCCAGACCATCATCAGTCCGTACAACGCCCAGGTGACAGTCTACGGTGAATTACATCTTAGAGCTGGTACAGTTCCCCGGTTTCGATCAGCCCGAAGAGCTAAGCCAGACTGCTACATGATCTCGAGCGCAGCGTACTAGCATCTGTGAAAGGGCATGTCTTCGTCTCAGATAGTTATCTTTGGAATCTTAGGAAGCGGTGACTTGATTGTAGTTCTCAAAACAACCTTGCTCTTTGTGTATCTGGCGGATTGTCTACGTACAAAGTAGCTGAATGGGCTCTATAGAAAATGAGCTAGACGACTACATGATGTCTCTGGCCGCTCGTTTCAAACTTTTGGATTGGATGTTTCTGTCTCGGATAGGTATTGGTAACTGAATTTGAGAAGTAGCGCGATGACTATACGCATAAAGAGCATATCGTGAAGTCATAATGTCTCTCGACCCATGTTCCACATGCCGCCTACACTAGAAAAACGGAGGCGTGTCTTTATTTGCCGAAGAGCATGTGTGCGTTAGACACAGTCGTGACTTCTCAACCTTTGAGCACAGAAAGTCATGTCTACGGCAATCGACTCTGTGGCTTCTCTAACTCACACTACATGATTTCATGTCTGCGGCAAACATGTCGGTATCTAGAAGACTTTTGAGAGTATGAAGCGTTGGCCTTTACTTAAGTAAGGATATGTATCCAACAACCACATGTGTGACTTGCCAAACTCGAAAGATACAAAAGCATGTCTACGGCAACCATGCTTGTGACTTCTTAAAGCCGCCCTACTTGAGCGCATGTCTGCGGTAAAGATATCAGTATCCACGAGACTTTTTTAGATCTAGAGCTTTGATGATAGCGCCCCTCCCAATCTCCATCAACATCGAACATCAAACATCTGCTTGAACACGGTATTAACCAGCATACCAGGTCCCATCTTCATCGGCACAGCAACCCCCTTCAACTTCCCCAACACATCTCCTTCCCTCTCCTTCACCGGCTCTCTCTCTACCATCATCTCCACTGACCCGCTCTCGTCGTCACCACAATCTCTTCCCATCCTATACCAATACTCCGGCCAAGAATGCCCATTCCCGTCTTCCAGCCCAGTTTTCTCCACGATATGGCTTGCACCTGGTGAAGTACCCAGAACTTGTACTCGCGAGCCTGACTTGCTTAGGTAATACAGCATCTGTGCAGCATAGTACTGCATAACCATCTCATCCAGTGCAGCAAAGTCGACGGCACAGGGCTCACGATCTAGAGGAAAGTTGTCGCGGGTATAGTGGATATCTGGTGGGGATAGGAGGCGGAGGTGTTTCAGATGGGGGTGTGAGGCGATATGTGTCTAAAGACGTTGTTAGTTCTCGCTGTTAGAGTTGTGGGGAGATAAAACCTTGGAGGGTTGCTTACTAGAAAACTCTTCTGGTCGAATATCATGTCGGAGCCGGGTCGGTCTGGCATTGGATAAGAGAGTGGATTGGGATCTCGGATCGGGTGGAGGGATTGGCGGGGGAAGTGTACGGCGAGGCCATTGAGATAGGGAAGTGATTTTAGTAGTTTTTCCAGATCCTTCGGGGGGTAGAAGGGTACGCGGTCTGTGATCTGGCCGTCTATGCCGAGTTGGCGGAGCGAGGTGTGGCGGGCGATATAAGATACATCGACCATGCGTCCGTCTGCCATGTCGAGCCAAAGCTTTTCCAGGCTGTTGAAGAAGTTGAGGAGTGCTTCGACAGCCCGTATAGTGTGTTCTAATGGAGAAGAATTCCGAGCCATCGTGATGTTCAACTCAGTGAGGTTGCAAACGGGCGCAAGTACTGTCATGAGATCGACGATGCTCTCGCAACCCACAAGCTGAAGACATCTGAGTTTGGATAAGTCGACGTTGCCCTGCATTAGAGCTGCTGCCCTTCGCCCCAAGACCACCTGCTCCAGGCTCATCCGTGATAACTTGAGTTGAGGAGGCGCACTGCCATTTTCAGACGGCCCTCCAAAGACGGCCCAGTCTGGTCGTGCCTCTGGGCGGTCAGGATACGCCATTAGACTGAGGCAATCAGGACGTGTCACAATCCTGAGTTCTTTGAGATGCGGAGCGCTGCGCACGAGTAGTCCAGCCGCCTTGCATTGTTCGCTGCCCATGTCATCGGGCATCACGGTGAGCGACTCGATACTTGCAAGTCGAAAGGATATCCACGATTCGTGAGCTCCGTGTGCGTAGCTTACGTTGGTAGTACCAAGCCCCAAATTGAAAAGAATATCGAGCCGCTTTATCTTCGTCTGGTTCTGCAGCAGATGAAACATCATGCCTGTGGGCAAACTGACTTCCCCGGCTAGAGCGCATAGTGCCCCCTGGGGAAGTTCGTTGATGATTGTCATGAGTAGTATCTCCGTGGAATAATCGCATGCGTCGTACAGCATCTCGGTACCGCTGCGGGCGATGTAAAGGCTCTTTACGTGGGGTATGACGCCGTTCCCGGGCTCGAGGAGTGTGTTCAGCATTTCTGGAGTGACATTGTCCGACGCTATCGTAAGGTTCGAAAAAGCTATTGGCGTGATGATGTCTCGCCATTCGTGGTTGACGAGACGAACGGCTGCATTGGTGGCTTTGTCGCGTATGGAGGCGAAGATGTTGGCTTTCATCTCTACCGGGAGGCTTGAGAAGCTAGCTGGGCTTGATACTTCGGCCATCTTGAATGAGTTGAAAGTCTGTGTGTGGTCAGCGGTGCCAACGAGGCAGTTGAGGTAACTGGGCCGCGTTTATTACTAGTGGAGCGCCACAAGATTTAGCTTCAAGGAGAATCGTGAGGCATTAGGCAGAAGTAACAGTGAAAGGTCCTTGAGGCGCTGACTCAAAGCATGAAGTATCCATTTCACACAGTACCGGCAATGTTATCTAGGACGATCACAAGCTCTTGTTTCAACAGTACTTCTCTTTTTAAGAGGACCTAATTAGATAGGTGTATATAGATTTCAGAAGTTATAAGTTGCTTGTCCATGTTGCGTTACTGCACTCAGAGGAAGAGAGTATTATAAGATAGTCGCACTGCTGCGTCTTCGTTGCTTGCACAGCTCACACACAACTAGCAAACAGCGACACAAACGAATATGATGTATGCAAATGTGAATATGTATTATATGAAGAAAAGAGAAGGAGAGCGCCAAGGTATGCCACAGTCTGCCGCAAGCATATCATCGTGTCACTCTACTCGATTCGACAAACAACCACTTTTTCTGGTCCTCTCTCTCACAACTCGGCTACTCTTATCGTACACTATGTATCTTCTTCACTTAGGCCTCCTTGTACCTTCCGGCAAGCTCTCTTTGGAGGCAGCATTATCCTCCCCTCTCCCAACCTGCTTATGTGTCTTTCTCTTTGGAGATAGCAGCATCTCACATCCTTGTGCACATTCCTCTCTGGAGGTGGCAACGATCCCTTCTCCTCTCGCATTCTTCTCTTTCCAACCCTCCCCACACAAATCACTGACCGCCCCACCAACACCCATCGCAAACTCCAAAGCATCCATCAAAATCATCAAAACCTTGGAATCATCATTTCCATCGCACTGAACCCGTCCTATACCTCGCCTTCAATGCCAACACCCAGATTAATGGTGTCGCACTGATTGGTATAGTCTCCTGCTCTTTCTCGCTGGGAAATACCCTATCGGCACTGTCCCGCTAATTCTCTCATGAGCGTCTTTGTTCGGGAGGAGACCGCATCGCTTCGTATCCTCGTGTCATATACACGAGCCTCGCAAATGCAGTCTCAAAATCTAGTCGGATTTGCGACGTCAATCTTTTTTGCGCTCATGTCGTTGTCGTCCTTGTTCTCGTTCTCGTCCTCGTCCCCATCCCCGTGGTTCCCATCAACCTCCCCTAAAGCTATCGCTTATCCGCCCTTGACTTAGACGGGCTCCTGCTCGCTCGCGATCTCTCCGGTGCCTTGGCTGGCGACTTGACCGTCTTCTTTGCCGGCGACTTTGTCGACTTGACGGGAGACTTGCCCCTTGCATTCGCCTTCTCTGCATCTATCTCTTTCTCATCCTTCATCGGCGATGCCGCCATCTTACTCAACACGTTCTCGTTGAGAGATCCGACAGGTTTGCCGGCATTGCGCGTGCGCCTGTTGTTGGGTGCCTGGGTTGGAGCAGGGGGTGGAAGACCGGCGGTGCTGGCTACGTTTGTTGCGTCGGTGTTGGCTGTTGTGATGTCGTTGTTCGGCTCTGCTGGCTCGGTCGACGCGGGATGTGCTTCCGGTGGAGTATCGTCCTTCTCAGCCGGAACTTGCGACGGACCGCTGACTTCAGTCGTCTCGTTCCCTTCGCGAGACGCAGCCACGACGTTCTCCGTCATCATCTCGTTCAGAGTCGGAGTCTGCTCATCACCAAGGTCTACCTTCGTCCTCTGCACCTTTGATGACAACGACCTAGGTGGCATCTGAGATGAACGAGGTGGCCCCTCACCGTCATCTTCTGTGAAGAGCCGCTTCATAACCGGGGTCAATATGATAGCGGGCTTGCGAGTAACGGCAATCGGAGTCATATTCTCCAAAGCCAGCGTCTGCTCACCGCCAAGGTCCTCCTTCGTCCTCGGGACCTGAGATGGCTTCGGCGACGCTTCCTCATCGCCTTCAGTGCCAATCTTCCGCTTGGTAGCTGGAGTCAGCTCGATGGCGGGGATGTCGATATCGGGGATGTCGATGCCGGGGATATCGGTGGTAGCCTGAGGCGGCTGCTTGTTTGGACTCGGTGAAGGCATGGCATAGAGATCGTCGTTGCTGTGATCGCTGTCATCGATGACGGTATCGCCGTCAATGACGAGAGTATCGCCATGAGTGTTGGTCTCGCCCTTGTCTGCGTCTTGCTCGGGCGGCGCTGATGATTCCGCGCCGTCTGCATCACCCAAGCCGTATGTGAAAGTGCCTGAGTTGTCCGCGTCACCCTCAAAAGAACTCCAGAAGTCTTCGATATCAGAAGCGTCACCATCGTCTTCTCCCTGTTCTTCTTCGCCTAGTTCCTGTACGGCGAACTTGAATGCCGGCCCACCACCAGGCGTCAGTAGATTTCCTGTCGGAATCTCTGCACTCTCGCTGCTAAGCCGAAGCTGCTTGACCGGTCTGGGTGTCTCGCCCGCGTCGTCAGACTTTCGCTTCAACTCAGTCAAGCCGTCGATGTATGCTGGGAGTGTGATCGTCCTAGCATTCCAGTCTGCGGTGAGTTTTCTGTGGTCCTTTGGCGTCGAGGTTGTATCGGGAGTAGCTGGAGGGGCGGATATAGTGGGGAGGGGTGTAGATGGGCTTGTGAGTCCGGCAACGGAGACGAGACGAGGCTGATCATCGATAGGGTGGTTGGAAGAGATCGCGCTCAGTGAGTTCTGCATCTTAGATGGAGTGAGCGACTTCGCGGCGGGTGCAGCCATCTCTGTAGCTTTCGCACCGTCGATCTCCGACTTCAGCTTCTTGACTTCCATCTCCAGTGCCTCGCGACGAGCACAATCCTTCTTCAGCTGCTCTTTGAGCTCCTCGTTCTCGTCATTGAGCGCAGTCTGCACAGCATCGTTGATCTGCTTCGCCTCCGCAGCGATGCCTTCCCACTGCTTGACCTGCTCTTTGAGCGCGGTGACTTCCTTGCTATGTCGTAGTCGCACCTCGTGGAAGTCTCTCTCCATCGAAGCTGCATCGGCCCTGCCCTTCTCTTCTTCTTCTCGGGACGCTTGCAACTGCAAAGTTAGAGAGGCTGCGTTGGCCTCGGCTTCCTCCTTCTCTTCTTGGACTTTTCCCACTAGTTCTTTCACCTGGGCCAAGCCAGATCCAGCGGTTTTAATGGCTTCGTTCGCACAACCCAATTGCTCCTTGACTGAGAGGAGTTCCACGTTAACCGTCTGCGTTTCTTGTCGTGCAGCTTCCAGCTCAGCCTTCAGGGAAGCCACTTGAGAGCTGACTGCCTCAACCTCCTCCGGTACGGCCTGAGGCTCTTGACTGTGAGAAGCCAGTAGCGAAGCGACTTTGGCTTTAGCCCCATCAGCCTCTTCTTGCACCAGCCGAAACTTCTCGTCCTTGGAAACAGCTTCCATCTTGGCGTCTACAGCCTCTTGCCGCGCCGCCCGAAGTTGATGTCCCATATCCTCCAGTGCATCTCGCTTTGGAGTTGATGAGTTGTGAGACGAGGTGGACATTCTACTCGGGTGCGCAGGCTTGCTCGTAGACTGCTGGAGCTCTTTGACCTGCGCATTGCTGTGCTTCAGCTGATCGCTCGTTTCCTTGAGTGCCTCCTGTAACTTCCGGACCACTTCTGGTGTTTGTGTAGGCTCTTCGCGCACAGGTGTCGCAAAGTCTGGAACCTCGTCGACCTGTGTAGTCTGACGCGCTCGATCAGAGCTCGCCTTCTCCCTCATCTCAGACTCCTTCTGCTGCTTCTTCGCAACTTCCAGCTCTTTCCGTAGACCAACATTCGTCTTAAGCTTAATATGAAGCCAGTTAATAACGCGCCAAGTGATAGCCTTCCATGTGTTATGGTCGACTCCTGGTGGAGTCCTTGCACCTTTCCAGATTCTCATCACACTTACAGTACCCCGAACAGTCATGACGGAGTACAATGCGTATTCGAGGGCGCGATATTCGAGTGCGGAATTGGCCTTGTTCATGATAGTGTAGCCGGCGCTTACGATCCTGAACAGAGTTGGCGAGACGATAGAGTTCATTTTTGCGGCTGTGTTGTTGGAGGTGGCGGAAGCGATGAATGTTGATGTTGTGTTTGTGGTCTTCTTGATGGTGTTTGTCGCGGTCCTGGCGCCGGTCGCGAAGTTGGTGCTGACGCCTTGCCGGAGATCGGATGTCTCTGGCGCAGTATTCAAAGGGGTAGTAGATGGATATTTCCTCGCTACTTGTCACAGCGCTGATGGGTATGTTAGTGATCGTGTGGGTGGGATGATGAGGCGGGGTTTGGACTTACGCTGATAGCGTGACTGCGGTAGAGACCTTGCCGCGCAAGTGTTCGCCTGTTCGGCTGCGGCGTAGTTCCTTTGGGCTGTTTATCTGAGCCTCAGCGTCTTCGATGTTGCTGCGGTTGCTGACGGGCGGGAGTGCGCGTTGTGGTGTCGTCGCGGTGTCGTCGCAGTGGGCTGAGAATATCCAAGGTAGAGGGGTAGCAGAGTCGCGACTCAATGAATGCAAGGAAACAGACAAAGTCTTGTTTACACTCGCTAAGTCGCAATAGTGTGCGCTGACGTAACGGGACAGTCACGTAATAGGAAGTTTTGGTCTTTCACTGATGCGATCGGGAGCCAAACAAAGGAACAAAGAGATAAGAAGACAGTCATAGCTAGGCTCGAGGAGCCACACAAAATATGGAGGAGATGCGGCTTTTACATGCACTTTTTTGCAGAAATGATATCTAGGAAGGAAGATACGTACTAGATGTAGCAACTGAACCTCGGGGTTGCCCACCAAGTTCCCCCAAACTCGCATTCCAGCGCCGCGTTTGACGCCGCACGAGGCGCGCGCACCAGAACTTCCGTCTGAGCCATCATCACAAGCTCAACATTTGCCATCAAAGACCTCACTTGCTCTTCTGCCCCCACCACGATTCCGCCTCCGCCGCCTTCCACTCATCGTACTCTCCCGCCGCACGCTCAATCACAGCCTGCTCAGCAGCCGCCTGCCACGTCTTCGCCAAGTGACCATTCTTGAGATCTTCCTGGAACTTGGCGACATCGGTACGGAAGCAGTTGTTTGCCAGCGTAAAGGCTGAAGGTCGTGTGTCTTCTGTGTTGCCGGTGCTGATCTTGGCGAGGAGAGCTTGGTGCGTAGTATTCTCGGGAAGCATGGAGATGAGTGTAGTTTGCTGCTCTGGGCTGAGGTTGGTCCAGGCCGGTCCTTCAAGAAGCATGTGCTGCGGTGTGTGAGCTCTTTGAAGTGTGGGTGGTGAATGGATTGCGATGAAGACTTACGTAGATGTCTGCTTTGACTAGACGGCTGGAGGAGTTGGTGGTGATGTAGATTGGGTCGAAGACTTTGCTTGGTCCCTTCTTGGTCGGGGCAGCTTTGGGAGTGGGCTTTTCCTCAAACTCCTCAAACCGCTCTGGTGCTTTACGGTTGCGCGAGGGGCGTGAGCTGGGTGTCGCTGCAGGAGCGGGTTTCTTGGCTGCTGCTTTCTTCGGGGCCGGCTTTTTGGGCGCAGGCTTCTTTGGAGCAGGCGTCTTCTTTTTTGTAGTCTTGGCTTTTGTTGCTGAGCTTGTGCTCCTGGCTGCGCGTTTGGGAGGCGGTGTACCGAAGGCGGGCTCTTCGTCGTCATCATCCACTTCTTCGTGAGATCTCTTCGGGCTCTGCTTGGACACGCGTTTAGCGCCCATGTTGGATGTCGGCATAGTAGTAGAGGCGGACGCCAGCGCCTGCTGAGGAAGGGATGGAGACTCGATCGATGGCATGATGGACGAGTCGTCTCCTGTTGTTGAGATGGCAGAATCTGGGACTTGGCTCGGTAGGCTTGAGGGTATGGGCGAGACCTGCTCAGATGGAGAAGAGGGCGGTGAAGATAGAGGTGAGGAGTCTGGGTCAGAGTGGTGCATCTTGGCTCGTTTGTTTGGTGTTGTTCGAGGTGGTGCAGTGGTTTGCTCTGAGTTTGGTGCGGGCGGAACAGGTGTCGGTTGGTAGTCGTGTGGAGAGGTAAGTCGAGTGGCGGACGAAGGTCTATGGTTGTCAATTGAAGCTGAGAGAGACGACATTTGGGTTGCCAATGCGCGTTAAGCTTTCGATTGTCGGACAGTGGATATAGGCGAACAATAGGCTACTGGACCAAGCGACAGTCACGTGTGAAAAGAAGAATTTCGGTGCGCGAAGTGAATGTGGAGGTCGTATTGAGCAGTTGCACAATGGTAGTCACGCGCTTGGTAGACAAGTCGTGAAGACGCCGCACGGTACATGGAGTAGTGAAGAATGGGAACGCACCTTACTGGTAACGACATTTTGTCGTTTGGACTGAATGCAGAAGTCTGATGTCGAACTTGAGCAAGTATTTTCTTGCAAGACGTCGTAAGTGCAAGTGACTACCTGGGTAAGATGAGATGCACGGCAGCTGGCAGAATGCCGGTGTGATGTCGTTTGTGTTAAGGCAGTAGCTATCGCGTTCCGCAAGGCTCATCTACCGATGGCTATGGTCGCGTTCCACTGGGAAGCTTGAGCCTCGAGCGACTTGAATCAGGGTTGAAAGCGCGTCCGCCACTCAATGGATTGAGTGAAGGTGTTGAAGGGGTACGCGAAGACACCAGCTCGGCTCCGCATGGTGGCTGGGGCGTTGAGTTGAGGTTGTACCAGACGTTCCGTCACAAAGATACCGATATCAATCCAGACAGTCTATCTGACCTTGTTATTCCGATTAAAGCGTCTGTAGAGGCATGAAAGACAGTGCATTGAAGCGTCACGGCATGCTGGTTGTTCAGTGATGGCCGTTGGCGCGTCCGTGCGCTTTCCCGCGCGTTCTTTCCGCATCGTCATCTTTGCGATCTGGTATCATCAGCCCGACACGTATCCCCTACCACGCGACTACACATCCTCGGGCCTAACTTTGCGCTCGACATAATACTTGGCGACGTTGTACACCCACCAGCTGTAATTCTCCGCACCCTCAACCGCCGCCATGATCAAACACACCATAATATCGCGGCTCGATGGTCAGTAACTCGGCCATATTGAAGGCTGCACAAGTGCTGATACATGCCTAGGCCTTCATTTGGTAGCCTCGGTCGACAATAACCAGGTAAGGGCGCCTCTCGAGCCGTCACGTAGCCTAGACATGAGACTCACAATTTCCAGAACGATGCCGAGTTCATCGAGGCCACGAACAAAGTAAAGATGTTACAGCGACGCCTAAACCGTAACGCCGAACAACAAGCGAGTATAGAGAGCGGAAACTACACCTTCCAGTATGCGCATTGCCCCTGCCTCTAGGTGCAGAGAAGCATCCTCGATCACATGCTAACACAGCCCCCAGCTACATAATTGAGGGCGACCTCTGCTTCCTCTGCATATGCGACCGTTCCTACCCGCGCAAACTCGCCTTCACATACCTCTCGGACCTCCAACGCGAATTCACCACTACATACCAACCGCAACAGTACCTCTCACCCACATGCCGACCGTACGAATTCGTCGGGTTCGATCAGTTCATTCAGAGCACAAAGAAGACATACCAAGATTCGAGGGCGACACAGAATCTGGACAAGTTGAACGATGAGCTGAAGGATGTTACCAAGGTTATGACCAAGAACATTGAGGATCTGCTGTATCGAGGAGACAGTCTGGAGAGGATGGGCGACATCTCGAGTCGATTACGGGAGGACAGTAGGAAGTACAAGAAGGCTGCCGTGCGCATCAACTGGGAGTTGTTGTTGAAGCAGTACGGTCCCATCGGCGGACTAGCCTTCATCATCATCGTCTTCATCTGGTGGAGATTCTTTTAGACACATGCAGCGAGTCGGCACTCAGCATGTACCAAGGAGGGCATTTCAGGCACCGTCGGCGTTAGAGGCGCATACATTGCCGAAAAACGGCTCAAGATACACAACAATACCCAAGCTCCAGCTTTTCGTATACAAGTCTTCATACAAGTACAAGTCTCCATACAAACCTTGGTTCCACCATGTGAATGCTGGCGCTGTCGAAAAGACAAGGATACCCTTCCAAGCCTCTAGCTCTGATTGGTCGGATGCATTGTCGTGAGCACTACATACCTCGCTAATACTTCACACCATGTCTGCCCCACTCCACACTACCAATTTCGTTTTGCACCTTTTCCTTTTGCCAGTCCAGCATACTTCGACATTGACGGACGAAAGAGACAAGACGTATACGAACCCGATACCATCGAGCGATTCAACGACACGATGTGAACGACCATGATCCCTCGGACGCACGTGCTGATATCAACACCATGACGACATGATCACATTCGGAGAGGATGTCTTATAAGAGGAGGGAGAGGAGATATGGAGCTATAGGGGCAGACTGGGACTCTTGACCGGACTAAACGGTTCACACCAACTGCCCTTCCTCTCTAGTGAGAAACAATGGAGCCACTTGGTGTCAATATCGCTGTGGGTTAGAGGAAGTACGCGTAGAAAGACTGTCAAGATACGATGGGAGCATCGGGTCAAGAGGAATATATGCCTACGTCGAGCAAAGAGAGTGGAGAAAAGGCCGTATTTCGGGGAACCATATGGACGAGGCATGCCGCCGTTCCCATATCCATTCACACCCGTGACGACCTAGCTTCGGAGTTCCGGTGCCCAAGGACCCCGGGCCATAGCCTTTGTCGTCGGGGATGGCTTCATCGGGATAATTGCGCAGTAAACTTCCACGTCTGGGAACTACTACGTTGGACTGCATAACTGTCATTGTCGAAGGAAGGCGCGTTCAGGGTACGCGCTGTACTTACTAGTACTGGTCGTGGTTGACCATTTCGTTCATTCTCGGCCGACCTAGGAAACAGCTAAATACCCCGAAGCCTACACCGACGTTAGGTTACCTACTTTGCGAGCCTTTCAAGTTGCTGTAGTCCGCAGACCTATTCGCATCACAAACAGCACCCCTCCCAATGACATTCTCAAACACACCAATAACAATGACAAAACCACAACTCGTTCTCATTCCCGGTGCCTGGCACACACCCTCCGCCTTCTCCCTCCTCACTACCGAGCTGTACGCTCTTGGGTACACAACGCACGCGCGTCAACTCGCCTCCGTCGGCAGCACAACACCTACCACCGATCTCTCAGCCGATATCGCCATCGTCCAGTCTATCATCAACACCGCCATCGGCGACTCCGGCAACGACGTCGTCGTACTAGCCCACAGTTGGGGCGGCATCGTCGCCAGCAGCGCTCTCGTCGGCTTCGGAAAAACCGAGCGAGAAAATCGAGGGAAAAGAGGTGGAGTGGTGAAGTGTGGATATATCGCTGCCAGCATGCTACCCGAAGGCATCAGTCTAATGGACTCGGTACACCACACCTTCCCTCCTTGGACTGAAATCTCCGGACCTTACATTCACGCTCTCGACCCACATGTCTTCTACTCCGACCTTCCTCCCGACGAACAGACGTACTGGTTTTCGCAAATCCAACCGCACTCGCTGGCGAGCGCTTATGCGAAGACGACGGGGGCGGCGTGGAAGAAGATTCCTAGTGCTTATTTGGTTTGCGAGGAGGATAGGAGTATGCCGGTCTTTGCGCAGGATAAGATGATTGAGATGGCAAGGGCGGAAGGTGGGGAGGTGCAGGTGACTAGGTTGGGGTGTGGGCATAGTCCTTTTTTGAGTCGTGTGCAAGAGACGGTGGAGTGGGTTAGGAGGGTTGCTGGGGAGGAGATTTGAAGAGGTGGAATACGGGAGGGGATCAGGTTTCCAAAAAGTCTGGGTTTGGAGCTGAGTTGTCGGTTTGCGGTGTCTTGCAGCCGTTTCCACGCTTATTCTTCCCCGATCTGTGAGCAACTGTCCCATACACGTCGGTACCAATCGTCAAGCCTTGGACGAGGAGCGGATGCGACGACCGAGACAACAACCCCAATGAACAAGTTACGGAATCGGCAGGCTCTCGCCTGCGTATAGTCAACGATTGGCCTAGGCGAGGGTCTCAGGCTTCCGACTAAGCACGTTTGTTGACCACAGGTCGGGCGATGGATCTGCGTATGATCACTGGCATGATCATGCGAAATCATGATCTGTGTATGTTCGTTGATCTCATGGATGCTTCTGCTCCACCATACCAAGCTTCACGTTATGGTGGAGCAGAAGCATCCATGAGATTAACGAACATCGACATTTGACCCAGATAATCCTTCTTCCAAGCAATGCGCATAGCACGGACTCTCCATATACTGGAACGGGCCTGTCAGCCATCCAAAGCCTCCACGCTTGCTATCTTCCGACGACCGCACGATGGAGTAACCAACCCAACGGGCGCACACTTCTCGTATCGGAATTCCTCCCCGGTCTTGTAAATTATATCAGTCGAAGCACCAGCTGCTGTGATAGCCATCTATCATAGCAGCCGCTGCTTCGACTGATATAATTCCCAAGCCCGGGGTAGGTAGTATGAGTAGCCCGCACGCTGTCCACACCGCAACCATTCCCCCAATCTTTAATATTCCGTTGGAGAAGGTTGCTGTCACAAACTCCCCCAACGCTGTATTAAAGATTGGGGGAAACGTCAGCGAGAGGTAGCCAGCACAGAGCAGATAGTCTGACTTGATTCGAGTTGTCTTGTCGCTCTGAAGCATTCTGAATTGAATTAAAGTCAGAACGAGAAAACAATGCGAATCCAGACAGCATTTCTGCTTTGTTGCTGGGTATCTCCCTGGA